GAGAACAGGTGAAATTTGGTGCAGATCTGTATAATCATCCGGATGCATCTGATCTCAACGTAAATGCAACCAGCCTTGCGGGGAGGTATTCTCTCTCTGAGTGCCCTTCTAGTTTTTATGTCTTAAACTTAAATGGAAAGCTTTTTTGTTCAAGAGAGAGAAACAGGGAAACACAAAGATATATACGCAGCAAGAAACACACTTCCTTCTTTAGACTAAATTTTATATTGATGCTGAAACTAAATAGTTTTTTAACCTTGATAGCAATAAAGCACCTTTGAATTTAGATCTGAGAGAGTGGGAGAGAGAGGGAGGGAGAGAGAGAGAGACAGAGAGGAGCTATATTTGGAGGTGGCACTGCCTTGCACTGTATGGGTGTGTAATAAATCTGTTGTTCCATAATGGTGACTGGTGGGATGCATAGTGCTCTGTGTGTGTGTGTGTGTGTAAGGATGAATAGTGGCCTGTCTCGTCCTACAGTACTGCTGCTCCTTGCTAATTGGTCGTTGGTCTAAGTGCTGCTGCTGCACTATTCTCCAGATAGATGGGATGGAGGGTGAGTTGGAGGGAGGGGAGGACAAGGGGAGAGGGACGAAGGAGTAACACAAGGGAAGAGACGGAGGGAGAAATGATTGATGGATGAGATATAGCTGGATCGAAGGATGCATGCATAAATAGGGAGGAGGAGGTCTGGGAAAGAAGGAGGAGAGGAGACGGAGGGAAAATGGTGTGATGTGAGTGGAGGAATGTAGGAAGAGAAAAGGGCAAGACAAGGTCAAGTGTTTGAAAACAGCGTCTCATGAGTTCAGTTTTAATGTGAATAAATTAAAACACATAAGAATCTGTATCTTCACATATTAATCCTTGTTTTATCCTCACAGTCGTTTCCGGCTCTGTTGATATTTGTCTCCGCTGCTCATTCAACGTCTATTTTTAGCCTCATGTTGTGTTTTTGTTTTGTGCCTCCATCCTGCATCCGCTCACGTCACATCGACTTTGCTGCTTTAATTGTCCCCTCTGTGTGTGTGTGTGTGTGTGTGTGTGTGTGTGTGTGTGTGTGTGT